TCATTGGGAAAAGTTTTACAGCCTAATAAACTATTCAAATCAAGTTGAAACTTTTCAAAAGACAGCAAGTGATTGATCTTTGGTAATTGTGATTTTAGTTACCTATATGCAGCAGAGTACCCTTTCATCCAGCTATTTGATTAAACCAACCCCTTCTGTGCTTTGAAGGCTCTCCCTTGTGCGCACACACACAGAGGCTTGTGCCAAATGGACAGCTATTTACCAAACTCCTGTCCAGCCCTCCAAGATCCACAGGTGAGAAGGAATGGCTCTTTATCACCCCTGAGGTTCCAGTTTAGTACACATACTGACATAGCACATTAACAATTTCAGACTCCTCATAAAAGATGTTTCTATCTTTTCATATCATACAATGTTTGACATTTTCATGGTCAGAGTGACATTCCAATCCTCCACCCAAGAGACTCAAACTTTACAGCTCACAAAAGTTGAAAGGATTTACTAATTCATTATATTGACTTTTTAACCCTAAAATTCATGAAGCAGAGAAGTTGCACTTCAGAACCCCTTCCTTCCTCCACCAAGTGCCTAGCTTGAACAGTCAATTATTTTTATTCTGGCCCTGTGATGTTTGTACTCTCTGCAGCACTTCATTGTAGTTCCTACACGAGCAAGACTACCCTGTGCATCTTGGCTTATGGCCTGGTGGACAAGTAACTTAGTGTCTAGGGGATGAAGGTTTCAGTTCCTTTAGGAAAGGGATTATGCGGAGTTGGAAAGGAATTGAATCTGGGCTCCAATTTTTTGGGCCAATATATGCAGAGCAGGCAGCAGGACCTCCCGCCCCTCTTGGGGTCATACTTAAAGAGGAATGGACACTGCACCTTCTCTCACCAGGGCATAACCAAGGTCGGGATCACAACTGGAGAGGGTTGTTATAATCCAAGTGCAGAGATTTCAGACCTGCCATTGCTTGTTTCCTAGTAGCTGCATCTAGGTAGCTCGTCACTGAGCCTAAAGGGCTTTTCAGCCCAAGTCAGCCTCCTGAAGAGCACAGTATACAAAGACAGATGCCAAACTCAAAGCCACAAACTGGATTTTTGGGGCTGGATGCCTGTTTGTTTTCCTTTAAATGGATCTAAGATGTAACCCACATTCTCCAGAGAGGGAGAGAAGTGTGACAATGAGGTTCTTGCTTGCTGTTATGCTCAAGTGCCCTCCTTCCACTCAAAAGTCAAGAGGCTTAGAGAGCTAATGCATAGGTATCAAAAAGCTGAACCACGGCTATCAAAACAGTAAGAGTGATTTGCAGCATACCTGATATTCAGTGTAATTAGGAGCTGAAGCACCCATTAGCAATCAGAAAATGGGCAAATTAGTTTGTATCTACACAGACTAAAAATGTTACCATATAAATACTACCATCTAATGTTTTGCGTTTTTTCCCCCCTACCCTTGTTCCTAAGGCTGACATTATCCCTCTCTTCTCCTTACTGTGGGACTGCCAATTCATCCATAAAGGTCCAGTTATCCTCTCTCAACAAGATACTTCTGATGTCTGTTTAGTCAGGGACTCGGCATGCAAATCCAATGCTTTCATTTAGCCCAACATCAACTCAGACAAAGGCAACAGTTCAGTCTGGCTTCCAGTTCAGTCTTGATCAAGGTGATGTCTGTCAGACTTCTACCTTTTTTTTCCTCCCACAGAGAATATTAAGTTTCCTTTTCCTACATCCTCTTACTTGTGTTTAAATGTTTGTTGTTGTCATCCAGGAAACAACAGAGTTTCTAAAGAACAGCAGAATTTGTAGAGCTGAGATATTTCATGCAGCTCAATCCACAGTGCATTAATTGTTTCTGGTTTTCAGGTGAAATACCACGAATTTTGAAGTACCACACACAATGTGGATGCTCTCAGCAAATCACTCATTACAGGTTCACTTGCTGTTTGTGCTCCTGGACTCAGTAAAGTGACTCGATCTTCTTCTCCTAATTGGTCTAATGGATATGCCTTATGGCAAGTACTTTGTCTCAGCACGGTCAGTTCCCTTCCGACTGCATCTGGGCTGTGAATTCTCAAGGACAGGGGATTTCTCCCTGTCAAAACCACACCATTTAAAGCAGTTGAGAAGTGGCAGAAAGAGGGAAACAGAAGAAGGAATCTTGACTTTTTTGGAATTTTGAATGCCACAGTAAGCATGGTTTCAGGATAAGATTTCAGCAAAGCATGTAGATTACCGCTGGAAATTACTTCCTCCCAAGTAAAACCAGCCAGGAATACTCCCACACCAGCCAGCTTCCATTTGAAGTCAGATTTGCAGCATCTCAGTTCCCTAGTGAAAGCAAGCTGAGTTTTTGCACCTAGGTTACTGGATGTCTAATTCAGCAAGTCACTGCCACCTTCCATCCAGAATATTCACCTTTCCTTCCACTCCCTCAGTTATGACACTCTCACTGAAATCTGCAAAAAACCTGGAGCAGTCTATTTTTTTAAAAAATTTGAATAGTATTCTGAAGATGGAGAAGAAAGCTGGTAATGTCCCTTCTGCAAGAATTTAGGATATTTTTGAAAATTTTGTTTACAAATCTAAATCCTATGATCTCTCCCTCCTCACTGCTAGAACTGTGCTGTCCTCTGCCCATTTGCCGCTTAGTGTGCCATGCAATCTTTTAGATCTGCAAAGCTGTGTTTGTTCTGCAGGTGACGCATGCAATTCTCAAATTCCTGCATGCATTGTCTCATATCCCCTGCAGTAGAAACACTCGTGCTGCAGTTTTTATTATTTTGCCCAAACCCACTAAAAGAAAAAAATGCACGCTGTCATTTACTGTGATTGCTACAGGTGCTTCTTAAATAATACTTTCTGGTATGACTGCCCACTAAGAAAACGGAAAAAAAAAACCCAAAACAAAACAGATCTAAAATACAGCAATAGCTATTGAAATCACCTTCAATAGCCTTCTCTAAAATGTTACATGAAGTTATAGGAATAGTGTTACAAGAAGTAACCTTACAATGGTCACATATTATCACAAAAGGAAAAGCAAGCATATTTAAGTTTCATGATTTAACAGTGTGTACGTGCACAAGGATGAGGGGAAAACAACAGCAGATAGAGTTCATTACTGAACGGTGGGACTGTATGTTTGAGGGAAAGAAAGAACAAGCACCGCCACAGGAGCTGTCTGAAAGCAGCGAAGGAGATGCAATGCCAGTAGATGGCACCCAAATCTGCAGCACAACCCCAGAGCTTGCAGGGTCCCTGAAAGTGGTGCATTGCAAGCAGCTGTCCGCAAGCTGAGGGTAGAGATCCCAGCAGACAAGCAGATTTGGGGGACTGGAAGACTTCATGGTGTCTGAGGTGCTGTGCCACAGCACGCGAGGCAGCCAGGCCACAGAAGACAGAGAGATGCAAGTGACATCCAGGTAGCTGGTCCAGCCATGGTGATCTGCTCACTGGCACGCAACAAGGGTAGAAATATTTTCCATTGCAACTTAGACATCTTTCACTCCCTGGCCACTTCCCACCTCACCCCATAACTAGCCTCAAAACTATGGGGGGGAAATAAGGAGTCTAGCTTCGTAACAGATTTTAAATGAGTGTATCAGAGCAGGCTAAGGAAGGCAGCACTATCACCTCTCTCAGAAAGAGCTTAGAGTCAAGTCACAAGGCAGGGCAATTCTCAATCACTGAACTTTGTTTCAAAAATTAAGGAGCTCCCTCCAGTCTAACCCCCACATCCACAGGAACCAGTGGTGGGCCACTCTGACCAAGTGCCTAGACTTGTAACCACTGAAAACAGAGATCTGTACTCTTCTATGCAAGCGACTGTCCTGCATGCATGAATCAGTGTGCAGGTACTGTTAATGTTTGCCTAAACTTTGTTTCCCCCCTTACTGCCTGTAGAGTTCACAGAATCCCTTAAGAAATATGAGGAAACATACCATTAAACCTAAGTTTCTTACTACCTTCTAAAACATACCTACTGTTTCTATAAGTAAGCATCAAAACCACAATCACTAAGCTATTAATCCTTAATAATTTTTTTTTTTTTTAAATCCATATCTCTCTATTACAGGGAGTATTACAGCTGCTCACAGCTACCGAGACTGAACCTTTCCTTTTCCAGTGCAGATGATCTTGGCACTACTGGCCTGAACCTGGAACTTCTTTACACCTGGATCAACAAGATCCATGAATATTCAGGCACTAAGGAATTTGGGCAGATATCCAAGAAGTGGCAGGACCCAGCTGCTGAATCTAAGGCTTACCCAGTTTTTTGTGCTGAAAACACAACTATCCAGATTGCTCTATGCTCTAATGTGAGCACATTAAAGACTATAAAACAAAAAAATCCTGCTCTGTTGACAAAAAACATATTTTAGCCTTTTTCCTCTTCATGTAGCCAGTTCCAATGCTGCTCCTCACAGAACTGCACACGCTATCGCTCAGCAGCTGCTGCTCGACCCATCCCTTTGGGTGAGAACTTGCTTTTGCTTTGCCCTTCCCCTCCTCGTGAGTAGTAATGTATGGGGACAGAGCAGATCAGGGGTTATTTTCTGAAGGGCTCAGGTCACAGACAGCATTTGTTCTCACTGCCACAGCTCCGATCAGAGCTAGGAGAGCAGGTACGACAGCTGCAGATCCAGGGACTGGCGTGGGAGGGAAGCAGAAGAGGAGGGGCGTGAGGAAGCTGAGCTGCAGCTGCTTTGCTTCTGCTCCAAGCTCCCAGGACAGCTCCATCCTCAGCCCTTCTGGCACGGACTGTTCCTCTGCCACAAGAGCTTCTCCAGCAGCTGCTGCCAAACCTGCACTTACCTCTTGGATGAGAAAATTCCTCAACCCCCCTTTTTGCCAGTTCCTGGAAGAATCTGCACCAAAGACAGACAGAGCTTGGAAGAATCATCTGAAGAAAATTGCTCCCCAAAGGAAAGACACAGAGCATTGGAAAACCCAAGCGTTCAACCTCTGGCCACCACTAACATAGACCTGCCCAATAGTAATCAGGGCTGCAGCGACTGCTCCCTGCCTTCCAAGCAGCCTGGCTCCATGGAGGAGCGGGAAGACAACTTTGTGCTTTCCCTTGGAGCCAACACCATAAAGTGCAGCCTTGAGACTAACCAAACACAGGCCCCAATGTGCTGGTCAGGAGCAACCTCCGGTGGCCCAGAGGTGGTGATTGTACCAGTGCTTTTTGGGTTGATTTTCCTCCTGGGAATGGTGGGAAACACATTGGTGTTGGTTGTTTTGGGGCGTCTCCGGTCTGGGGGACGCCCATCACGCAGCATTACCAACATCTTCATCCTGAACTTGAGCATTGCAGACTTCTCCTTTCTGCTCTTCTGCGTCCCCTTCCAGGCCACCATCTACTCCCTGCCAGAATGGATCTTCGGTGCCTTCTTTTGCAAGTGGGTTCACTACTTGGCCATGGCAACAATGCTGGTCAGCATCTTTACTCTGGTGGCTATGTCTGTGGACAGATACATTGCTGTGGTCCATGCCAAGCGTTCACCCTGCATCCGCAGCAAGCGCAACGCTGCCCTCGGCGTGGGTGTCATTTGGCTGTTGTCTCTACTCATTGCCATCCCTGTAGCCCAGCACCAGGCCCTCATGAGTGGTCATCAGCAAGCACCCAACAGCTCCTTCTGCTGGGAGCACTGGGCAGATGGTTCAACAGCCAAGCAGATGTACAAGATTACCATCCTGCTGGTGGGATACCTCCTGCCCCTGGTGCTCATCACCTGCTGCTATGCCAAGGTGGGTGAGAGGGACGCGAGTAATATTTAAATGGAGGGGAAGATCACTCCCAGACTCTTGGTGGCTTGGATGTGTACACTCAAGCTACCCAACCAACAAATAATAGATCCAATCCTTTCCATATACTCTCCTGGTATAGAATACTTCTCGGAGGGCGGGGGGGCGGAAACAGAGAATGAAATTATAGCAGCTCACAAAAAGGATCCAGCCTGACACCCAAATCCCCTAAAGATTCTTGCTGTTTCTCCTATTTTTCAGTTTGTTCTCTCTTGATAATACATGTTTGTTCCTGGCAAGAGGAAAAACCCATGGAGGGAGAAACTATGCAGAGAGTGTACAGAAACAGTATTAGATAAAGACATCACCCCCATTTCTTTCTTTCCTTTGGGTTTTGTTTTTTTGGTTTTTTGTTGTTGTTGTTGTTTTGGGGTTTTTTTGACACAAAGCTCTGACACTGCATCTTGCAAAGACTTGCAAAAAGAGATTTTAGGATCAGAGTTTTATTCAGCAAGAAACCTCTTCCTTTCTCCTTGTGGATTGCTATCACTTAAATTTTTGGTTTCCCCTTACTGATCTTTAGCATGCTGATAGTAAGTCTATGAGTTGTGCTAGCATGCAGAATAAGTTTTCTGTGAATTTTGTATTACTACCCTACTGCGCAGGAACTGCCAGGGACTGGACTTCTTTTTCACTAGTCAGTTGCAGGTCTACCCTCCTGGGGCTGGGGGGGGGGGGGGGGGCGGGAAGTTTTCCTGGAATTTAAGTTCATGTCTGTTTAATCAAAAAATACATTACTTTCAATACTAATTTGTTCTGCTATCATCAGTGCTAAGGACAGGACAATGCACTTAGATTTAAGCTAAAAATCTCTAAACCTCAGGCCTTGCTTGTCACAAGAGGAAAAAGCCACTAGAGCTCTTAATTCCTGTCACTGTAGCTCCAGTGTTTGTCCCCTCATTGCCCTATGTGAGAGAGCAGCAACTGGAGGGTGAGCTGCATTTAATAGAGGCATTTTTTTGTTCATTAATTGCTTTAGAAAGTTTGGTCTGTTAGCTCCAAAAGCCAAAGTACAAACATTGCCAGGTTACTGCCGTGCTGTAATCAGGTTTCAAAAGCTTGATCGAGATGTTGTTAACTCAGAATTTCCCTCCAGTGCTCTAACATTTCTTATGACTCTCCCTCTGAAAGGAGAACCCACTCCAACTGCCCTATTTGTTAGTGCGCCGTTCAGGAGCGGCAGGACAGTCACACCGGGGTACAGTACTGGCAGCCTGCTCTCTGCCTTTGTCTATAATCAACCTAGAGAATAAATGTAGATAATCTGGGGCACAATCTAAAACTCAAAATCCATGGAAAGACTCCTGTGGATTTCAGCATAGTGCCAGCTGAGCTCTTAATATATGCTGAACTACATCTTGTGGAAGCATAGCGGTTTTAATGCTTTTTCCAAACCTTGTTTCTTAAAGGAGAAAGAACTGTGGAGGGCTTAGAATTAAAAGTCTCAAAGTATCAAATTCAACATTGGTTGAAGTCATGCTAAAACAATTCTTTTAATTTTTGTGCTTGTATGAGAAGTTCAAATACTAATATACACAATTCAATTTCCTATTCAATATATTGCTCCTTTTTCCCCCCAAGGTTTTATATCATCTCCATACGAAAGTAAAGAACATTTCCAAGAAGTCAGAGAGATCAAAGAAGAAGGTAAATATCTTTGGTTTAATCTGTACACTGACTATAATGTAATAGATATATCAGGTTTCTAAAATAACCAATAGCCTTTTCAAGCTCCAACCACGTACTGAAGTGTCATTCATGTACCAGTCTTTCAGCTCAGTTTCAGAATTCATGTTGACAGTTTGTTATATCTTTATAGACACAGTATATAATGATGCCATTATTGGAATGTTACATTGATCTCTATATACAGGCCTGCTGGACTGCCTTTTGATTTATTGTGCTATAATAGAACCCCACAAATACTACCTTTTTACATTGGCAGCCAGTAAGATACTCGGACTATAAAAATATCTAGGTGTTTTGAGTATACCTCAGCAAACTAAAAAGAAAATACATGAAGAAACTGAAGTACTTCAGTTTTGCTGCAGTTTGCATTTAAGATCTTTCTTAAGGTGTTGCCATGATGCTGTCTATGACAAAAATGAGGGTCATTACAGCAAACATGGCCATTTGATTGACAAGGGTGCAAGACACAGAAATCAAAGCTTTGACTTGACTCCAGCAAAAAAAGACAGACACTGGTACCACAGCCGCAACAAGCTACAGATGTTTTGAAACACAGAACCACTTCTGGGTATGACGAGTTGCACCCAGTGATTTATTCACTAGCATTACAGGACCTCCCTGCAAATCTAGATCACTCACAAGATGAGGAATTCAAGATACTAGATTTTCAGCATGCTGCAGCTATACCTCATAAGAACCTGAACCGGTACCTCTATTGATTTCTCTTTCACTAAGGAGACTTACTGTAATGGAGACAAAAAGGTATATCCCTAAACATAACATAGCCATCTGTTCCTTATCTCAGAAAGAAAACAATCTTAGTACATTAATGTTCTGTATGCAGCTAAGGTATTGCAGAAAAATGTACAGTTCTCATCGACATAGATGTCTTCATGATCAACCTATTCAGGAAAAAGCAGAGCTACTTTAGGAGGTTAACTGTGCACTTTAGCAGCTATAGTAGCATCTCAAACAAAACTTAAGGGTTTTTAATACAAAAATAATATTATCTTTCAGGTGTATCGTCTGCAATATTGTGCTATAGTTTTAACGGTCTGGTCTGTGCTGCTTGTAGTTGATTTAGAGCTGTTACAGAGATTTTGCCAGTCCTTTATGCCTATGAATCCTAACCATACTATAACTATAGATTATATTTAGTTTCTACTAGTTCATTACATTCAGTAACATACGCTCAGTTTTGTTGATAATTACTTATGAGTATCAATCCATAATTGGTCTTGCACCTACACTGCCTGTAAGGATAGAACTCAACTGGTATTCACAATATTATTTCACAATACAAGATGACCATAGAAGTTATAATACACCACACAATATTTCCTTGATGGGAGTTACTTTCCCTTTCCCCTTAGGGTGCTTTTGATCATGTTTTCTGTGTTCAGTTGCTGAGTTCACAAAGTAAGCATAAAGCCTCACAAATACCACTTTGTTCATCTGTTTGTTCCTGAACCTTATCGAGATTAATGTTATTAGTCCAGCTCATCTAATTCCGAGTAGGTTCTGATAAACATTCTTTTAATCATCTTTTCTAAGGCAATAAATTATGCAAGAAATAGCTGCTATGTATTGCCTGCTGCAGGAACGCCACCAGACCTAGATGAAACAGACTACCCTGAAGAACACTGTGTCTTATTTTGCCTACTGACTTTCTAATGAACACTGATGCTGCCACCAATATACTGTAAATTAAAATTTGGGAACCAAGAGTATAATTTCTGGGCAGGTAGTGCAGACTACAAGCAGAAAGCACAGTCAGTCTTTTGTGCTTAGCAGCTACCATGAGAAAAGGCAACCAAGATCTGTTGACAATTTTATTTATGTAAAATACAGCAAATAAAGTGCTAAGAAGCACTGTCGTTTTGCATAGAATAATTTCATGACTTCACAAGTTTGAAAAGTTGCTTTAGGTCTCAAAATCACCAACAAATCCTTAAACAGTTTTGTTTGGTTTTAATTCATAAAGTCCTACTTCATTCCTATAATTTCAAGAAAGCAGGACAGTTGAGCTGTTATCCTCCTCCCACCCCTAAGAAACAGTTTGGTTGGTTTAGATTCCCCTTCTGTCTTTCCTTACTTATATATGAATGGCACACTAACCATTTCTTTGCTATATTTGAAGAGAATGCTACCAACAGTCGAAAACTACTACTGTCATTTTCCCATAAAGCAGTAAGTTACAGAATTTCATTTATAACACTCATTTTTTCAAATGTATCCGTTTGCATTGTTTTCAGATTTGACCTGCAGATTTAGATGAAAAAATAGCTCTACAGTTTCTTCAGCTTTGGGTTTCCTGATTAGATATGACTTCACCTGATCAAACAAGTTAATGGTACAGCATTTCTTCCTCCCTCCCCTTAAGTATTTCCCTGGCTATAATTCTGGAAGGCCTGGTAGCAATTCTTGCTCCATTTGGCACAGTTAGGCCTAATTAAATAGGTGATCCTTTCAGATGAAAGAAAAATCAAATACATTCCTCTATACACACACATCATCTTCCACAATTTGTCTCTTTCCAGCACTTTCTGTGTAGAAATTGCTCACCTAGCCTTTCTGCAGGCCAAGCAGCATCTTTAGTGTACCTATTTCAAGTATTTTTGTTTCAACCACTTCTCTTAGCACCTTATAAGGAGTCTTTCTTGGGTAGTTTGCAGACACACTCAATTTCTGCATATGCTTTCACAGTATACTTGAAACACATTGAGTGTCAATCATTTAAAGCAGATCTTCTTAAGAAAACTTCACATTAGAGCCTAATAGGAAATTCGTATGCGCATGTCAGTTCTGTTAAATTAGCTTCCTTCATATGTACTTAATTGGTCTATTGGTCTACAAGTAGTTTTGTTTGGTTTTAATTCATAAAGTTCATCAGACATTAAGTGAAGAGCTTTTGCTTATTTTGTTCAAAGATGTTTGTCAAATGAATCTTGCTCCACATTTGAAATGTTAATTTAGCATATACAGAACATCTGGCTTGTTCTGAAATACCTGTGTGACTTCAGTGGCTAAAACCCAATTGCCTTGATCTATCAAAAGAAAGTGTAACACAACAGCAAAGTCTTCCAATATGAGGTGATAAAATTACCTGATTCACATCTGTTAATTCACAGTGTGTATCTTGACCACACTGATATAGAAAATGAAGTGTCATACTGGTACAAAAGAGTACAGTTTGGAACTATGACTACTCAGTTCCTACTTCATTCCTATAATTTCAAGAAA